ACGATGGCGTACGAGAGGTACGTGGATGTTGAGATAATGCTCTCCTGTTTTCAAGTTCAATTTTCTAGGTACGACAAACTTAATATAAGCGAAATGTATTATCGCAATCATGATCGAAAATGCAAAATAGGATTTTTCATATACAGATATTGCCTCATGCGTGATTATATATATAAATATATATATATATATATATATATATATATTTGAAATTATCATATTAACATAGGACCCAATAAATTAAATTAAATGAAGTAAATGAAACTGTTTATTGGAAGAGGAGTCCGATGCGATTAACAAATATTAAATGGTGATAACTCGCTAATTCAGCAAAGACTACTAATTGCTGATATTATGTGTTAAAATAGGAGATTGATTGATTCTCCACTTTGTTAACCTCACAGCCCGAGGTTCAATAAATGACTCAAGCCAGTAAATTATATTCCTTCAATCACTGTTAATTAGCAAGTTATTACCATGCAACATATCATGTTTATCTGAAACGCCCATTCAAACTCTCCACATTTTATTAATATTTTCATGACGAAAGTTTGCTAAATTTTCGTCGGTTTTTATTTGCTTCCAGTCATTATGTTGTATATTATATTTAGCTCAGATTTATCTGACATCCACTTAACGCTGACGTATTAGAAACACTTAAACATTGCGAAACTTCCCTCTCTTTCAATTCAATTCAATTTATTCAGCCAGTCATTAAAAACAATTTACAATAATAGGTACTGGTAACATAACAACATAATTACAGATTGTGGACCCCTGAGAAACAAAGCTTGGTAATAAGGCCGACTAAAATTATATTTGAATTACTTAAATACATACAATAAAAAACAGATACTTATTTTTTATGCTGTTACAAATCCATTTTAAATATCTTGCAAACACACTCAGCTATGCGCACCCTATCCCACACAATGCAATAGAAAGAGAGAGAGGGAGAGAGAGGGGGGGGGGGAGAGAGAGAGAGAGAGAAGGAGGAAAATATTCAAGAAAAAGGGGGAAAAGAAGATAGAGAGGAAGACCATGAAGAATTCGAAACATGGCATGAACAAATAAAGTTCTACCCAGTTTTAGAAATCAATAAAATGGTTCCCTTTTGCAATTTATTTTCTTACTTCGATACTCTAGGAATGGCAAATACAATTATGTACCTGATAGATTATTGTAATTGTGAATAAAAGAGAAACTGCGACATAGCATATATTTCAATCAAATATTGCCTCACACGTGATTATAATTTTTGAGATTATCTTTTCAAATTTTTGTGAAAGATAAATATATTTCAATCTACAAACGCCGAACAGTGAAAACTTGCTAATGAAGCAAAGATTAGAGAGACAATACTGGCTGCCTTGTGATCAATTAATTTCTTTCTCTGTTAACCACATAATTCCTGACATAAATCGTGTAATCAGAAACGCCCCTCCAAAACCATCGAAATTATTTTCTTTATGATGAAAGTTTGCCCTATCATCAGAATAGTCGGTTACTATTTGCTTATTATCATTTATGTTTATATTATGTTAAGACCAGAAAAGGCAGACATCCAGTTAATGATGGCGTCAAGAAGTACTTGAACATTGCAGTCGGTATGACAAGTATGATTGTAATCGTAACCAAAAGAGAAACTGCGAAATAGGATTGTTGATATAAAGATATTGGCCCATGCGTGATTATGTATATCTTAGATTATCATATCAACTGTTTAGTTGGAGAGGAATCTAATTCGATTAACAAATATTGAATGATGATAACTCGCTAATTAAGCAGTAATTACAGGATTACTCATTGCTGACATGTGATGAAATTACGAGATTAATTGATTCTCTACTTTGTAAACCTTCAAGGTTCAATAAATGAATCTCATATTTCTAGCTCAAGCCAGCAATTAATATTCATTTTGGTCTTGATATATTTTCTGTTTGTTTTATTGTTTTTTATTTGTTATATATTGTATAATGTATTTCTCTTGAAGGGCGGCAATATAGGGGATCAACCTTGACAGGCCAATGGCCTTTGTTGATCCCTCGCATCCACCATCCTTCATCCTTCTTTCACAGTACCATGTCAATAAATGTGTTTTTTTAAATATTTTTATTGTTTAATTTATACTGATTTGTTTGTATATCTTTTGACGTGTTTTTAAAGAGATGTGAAATAAAATTGGATTTGAATTTGAATAATCACTGTTAATGTGTGACTTATCAACTTTGAACATATCGTGTAATCTGAAACGCCCGTTCAAATTCTCCGCATTGTATTACTATTTTCTTTATGATGAAAGTTTGCCATATTGTCAGAGTCGTCGGTTTCTATTTGTTTGCAGTCAACATGTTGTATATTATATTTAGCTCAGATTTATCTATCAACCACTTAACACTGACGTATTAGAAAAACTTAAACATTAATAAACTTCCCTCTCTTTCAATTCAATTCAATTTATTCAACCAATCAGTAAAAACAATTTACAATAACATTGGTACTGGTAACATAATAATATATTTACAGGTTATGGACCTCTGAGAATCAAAGCTTATTAATAAGTCCCTCTAACATATATTTGAATTAAATATATACATACAACAAAAAACAGACACTTATTTGTATGCTGTTTAATACAAATCAGTTTTAAATATCTTGCAAACACACTCAGCCATACGCACCCAATCCCACACAATACAATGGAATGGAATGGAAGACAACAACTTGTTGATGAATGGGCTACCCCGTGAAAAGATTAGAAATATATATATAAAACAATTCACTTAAAAGAATATCATAAAACGAGAGATAGGTAGAGAGGGAGAGAGTGAGAGAGAGTAAGAGAGAATGAGGAGAAGAGAGAACAATATTTCAGAAAAAGGGGGTAAGAAGAAGGAGAGGAAGAACAGTAAGAATTCGAAACATGAAGTGAGTAATTAGTTCCCTTTTGCAATTCATTTTTCAACTTCGATACCCTAGGTATGGTAAATAAAATGTTATGCATGATAGATTATTGTAATTGTGAATAATGAAGAAACTAGGACATAGCATTTATTTCAATCAAATATTGCCTCACACGTGATTATAATTTTTGAGATTATCTTATCAAATGTTTGGTGAAAGAGGAATATATTCCAATTTAAAAACTCGCTAATGAAGCAAAGATTAAAGGAACAATACTTGCTGCCTTTTGATCAATTAATTTTTTTCTCTGTTAACTACATAACTCGTGACATAAATCGTGTAATCGGAAAAGCCCCTCCGAAACCCTCGAAATTGTATTATCATTTTCTTTACGATGAAAGTTTGCCCTATCATCAGAATAGTCGGTTACTATTTGCTTAATATCATTTATGTTTATATTATGTTAAGACCAGAAAAGGCAGACATCCAGATAACGATGGCGTACGAGAGGTACGTGGATGTTGAGATAATGCTCTCCTGTTTTCAAGTTCAATTGTCTAGGTACGACAAACTTAATATGAGCAAGATGTATTATCGCAATCATAATCGAAAATGCAAAATAGGATTTTTCATATACAGATATTGCCTCACGCGTGATTATATATATATATATATATATTTGAAATTATCATAATAACATAGGACCCAATAAATAAAATTAAATGAAGTAAATGAAACTGTTTATTGGAAGAGGATTCCGATGCGATTAACAAATATTAAATGGTGATAACTCGCTAATTCAGCAAAGACTACTAATTGCTGATATTATGTGTTAAAATAGGAGATTGATTGATTCTCCACTTTGTTAACCTCACAGCCCGAGGTTCAATAAATGAATCTCATATTTATAACTCAAGCCAGTAAATTATATTCCTTCAATCACTGTTAATTAGCAAGTTATTACCATGCAACATATCATGTTTATCTGAAACGCCCATTCAAACTCTCCACATTTTATTACTATTTTCATGACGAAAGTTTGCTAAATTTTCGTCGGTTTTTATTTGCTTCCAGTCATTATGTTGTATATTATATTTAGCTCAGATTTATCTGTCAACCACTTAACACTAAGGTATTACAAAAACTTAAACATTGCGAACCTTCCCTCTCTTTCAATTCAATTCAATTTATTCAACCAATCATTGAAGACAATTTACAATAACATGGTACTGGTAACATAACCACATAATTGCAGATTATGGACCCCTGAGAAACAAAGCTTATAAATAAGGTCCACTTACATTCATATGAATAAGATAAATACATAAAACAAAAAACATATATTCATATTTATGCTGTTACAAATCAGTTTTCCATATCTTGCAAACACACTCAGCCTTACGCACCCAATCCCACACAATGCAATTCACTTCAAAGCATATTATAAAGAGAGAGAGAGAGAGAGAGAGCGAGAGAGAGAGAGAGAGAGAGCGAGAGAGAGAGAGAGAGAGAGAGCGAGAGAGAGAGAGAGAGAGAAAGAGTGGGAGAAGGAGAAGAAAAGAGAAGAATACTTAAGAATAGGGGGGAAAAGAAGGAGAGGAAAAACACTAAGAATGCGAAACATGAAATGAACAAATAAAGTTCTACCCAGTTCTACAAACCAATAAAATGGTTTCCTTTTGCAATTCATTTTGTAATTTCGATTCTCTAGGTATGGCAAATGAAATATGTGCATGATGTATTATTTTAATAGTGAATAAAATATTGCACCACGCGTGATTATACATTTTGAGATTATCTTTAAGGAATATATTTAAATTAACAAACACCGAACGGTGAAAACTCGCTAATGAAGCAAAGATTAAAGGAACAATACTTGCTGCCTTTTGATCAATTAATTTTTTTCTCTGTTAACTACATAACTCGTGACATAAATCGTGTAATCGGAAAAGCCCCTCCAAAACCCTCGAAATTGTATTATCATTTTCTTTACGATGAAAGTTTGCCCTATCATCAGAATAGTCGGTTACTATTTGCTTAATATCATTTATGTTTATATTATGTTAAGACCAGAAAAGGCAGACATCCAGATAACGATGGCGTACGAGAGGTACGTGGATGTTGAGATAATGCTCTCCTGTTTTCAAGTTCAATTTTCTAGGTACGACAAACTTAATATGAGCGAAATGTATTATCGCAATCATGATCGAAAATGCAAAATAGGATTTTTTCATATACAGATATTGCCTCATGCGTGATTATATATATATATATATATATTTGAAATTATCATATTAACATAGGACCCAATAAATTAAATGAAATGAAGTAAATGAAACTGTTTAGTGGAAGAGGAGTCCGATGCAATTAACAAATATTAAATGGTGATAACTCGCTAATTCAGCAAAGATTAGAAGAACACTAATTGCTGATATTATGTGTTAAAATAGGAGATTGATTGATTCTCCACTTTGTTAACCTCACAGCCCGAGGTTCAATAAATGAATCTCATATTTATAACTCAAGCCAGTAAATTATATTCCTTCAATCACTGTTAATTAGCAAGTTATTACCTTGCAACATATCATGTTATCTGAAACGCCCATTCAAACTCTCCACATTTTATTACTATTTTCATGACGAAAGTTTGCTAAATTGTCGTCGGTTTTTATTTGCTTCCAGTCATTATGTTGTATATTATATTTAGCTCAGATTTATCTGTCATCCACTTAACGCTGACGTATTAGAAACACTTAAACATTGCGAAACTTCCCTCTCTTTCAATTCAATTCAATTTATTCAGCCAGTCATTAAAAACAATTTACAATAATAGGTACTGGTAACATAACAACATAATTACAGATTGTGGACCCCTGAGAAACAAAGCTTGTTAATAAGGCCGACTAACATTACATTTGAATTACTTAAATACATACAATAAACAACAGATACTTATTTTTATGCTGTTACAAATCCATTTTAAATATCTTGCAAACACACTCAGCCATGCGCACCCAATCTCACACAATGCTATAGAAAGAGAGAGAGAGGGAGAGAGAGAGAGGGGGGAGAGAGAGAGGAGAAGGAGGAAAATATTCAAGAAAAAGGGGGAAAAGAAGAAGGAGAGGAAGACCTTGAAGAATTCGAAACATGGCATGAACAAATACAGTTCTACCCAGTTTTAGAAATCAATAAAATGGTTCCTTTTGCAATTTATTTTCTTACTTCGATACTCTAGGTATGGCAAATACAATTATGTGCCTGATAGATTATTGTAATTATGAATAAAAGAGAAACTGCGACATAGCATATATTTCAATCAAATATTGCCTCACACGTGATTATAATTTTTGAGTTTATCTTTTCAGATTTTTGGTGAAAGATAAATATATTTCAATCTACAAACGCCGAACAGTGAAAACTTGCTAATGAAGCAAAGATTAGAGAGACAATACTTGCTGCCTTGTGATCAATTAATTTCTTTCTCTGTTAACCACAGAATTTGTGACATAAATCGTGAAATGGGAAACGCCCCTCTAAACCCTCGAAATTGTATTATCAGTTTCTTTATGATGAAAGTTTGCCCTGTCATCAGAATAGTCGGTAACTATTTGCTTATTATCATTTATGTTTATATTATGTTAAGACCAGAAAAGGCAGACATCCAGTTAATGATGGCGTCAAGAAGTACTTGAACATTGCAGTCGGTATGACAAGTATGATTGTAATCGTAACCAAAAGAGAAACTGCGAAATAGGATTGTTGATATAAAGATATTGGCCCATGCGTGATTATGTATATCTTAGATTATCATATCAACTGTTTAGTTGGAGAGGAATCTAATTCGATTAACAAATATTGAATGATGATAACTCGCTAATTAAGCAGTAATTACAGGAATACTCATTGCTGACATGTGATGAAATTACGAGATTAATTGATTCTCTACTTTGTAAACCTTCAAGGTTCAATAAATGAATCTCATATTTCTAGCTCAAGCCAGCAATTAATAATCATTTCGGTGTTGATATATTTTCTGTTTGTTTTATTGTTTTTTATTTGTTATATATTGTATAATGTATTTCTCTTGAAGGGCGGCAATATAGGGGATCAACCTTGACAGGCCAATGGCCTTTGTTGATCCCTCGCATCCACCATCCTTCATCCTTCTTTCACAGTACCATGTCAATAAATGTTTTTTTTTTATAAATATTTTTATTGTTTAATTTATACTGATTTGTTTGTATATCTTTTGATGTGTTTTTAAAGAGATGTGAAATAAAATTGGATTTGAATTTGAATAATCACTGTTAATGTGTGACTAATCAACTTTGAACATATCGTGTAATCTGAAACGCCCGTTCAAATTCTCCGCATTGTATTACTATTTTCTTTATGATGAAAGTTTGCCATACTGTCAGAGTCGTCGGTTTCTATTTTTTTGCAGTCAACATGTTGTATATTATATTTAGCTCAGATTTATCTATCAACCACTTAACACTGACGTATTAGAAAAACTTAAACATTAATAAACTTCCCTCTCTTTCAATTCAATTCAATTTATTCAACCACTCAGTAAAAACAATTTACAATAACATTGGTACTGGTAACATAATAATATATTTACAGGTTATGGACCCCTGGGAATCAAAGCTTGTTAATAAGTCCCTCTAACATATATTTGAATTAAATATATACATACAACAAAAAAACAGACACTTATTTGTATGCTGTTTAATACAAATCAGTTTTAAATATCTTGCAAACACACTCAGCCATACGCACCCAATCCCACACAATAAAATGGAATGGAATGGAAGACAACTACTTGTTGGTGAATGGGCTACCCCGTGAAAAGATTAGAAATATATATATATAAAACAATTCACTTAAAAGAATATCATAAAACGAGCGATAGGTAGAGAGGGAGAGGGTGAGAGAGAGAGTAAGAGAGAAGGAGGAGAAGAGAGAACAATATTTCAGAAAAAGGGGGTAAGAAGAAGGAGAGGAAGAACAGTAAGAATGCGAAACATGAAGTGAGTAATTAGTTCCCTTTTGCAATTCATTTTTCAACTTCGATACCCTAGGTATGGTAAATAAAATGTTGTGCATGATAGATTATTGTAATTGTGAATAATGGAGAAACTAGGACATAGCATTTATTTCAATCAAATATTGATTATATTGATTATCTTATCAAATATTTGGTGAAAGAGGAATATATTTCAATTTAAAAACTCGCTAATGAAGCAAAGATTAAAGGAACAATACTTGCTGCCTTTTGATCAATTAATTTTTTTCTTTGTTAACTACATAACTCGTGACATAAATCGTGTAATCGGAAAAGCCCCTCCAAAACCCTCGAAATTGTATTATCATTTTCTTTACGATGAAAGTTTGCCCTATTATCAGAATAGTCGGTTACTATTTGCTTAATATCATTTATGTTTATATTATGTTAAGACCAAAAAAGGCAGACTTCCAGTTAATGATGGCGTCAAGAAGTACTTGAACATTGACATAATTCTCTCCTGTTTACAGGTTCAATTTTCTAGGTACGACAAACTTAAAGAGAAGGTTGAGTTCTGGGAAGAGGTGAAAAATAATTTGTGAGCATTACTCATTCTTATTATGCAAGCGTGGAAGAACATCAGTTAAGACATGTTTCCTGAAAAGCATGGCTCTTCAAATGTCTTCATATCCTAAATATACATGTAACATCGTAAAAATCGGGGGGGGGGGCGGTTTTTTACGCCACGTGTTTGTGTAGTCCCATATACATCTTTCTGTGCAAGTGTTTGTAACTTTACAAAGACTTGGCCAAATTTCTTATCATTTTGATGATTCCAGAACCTTGCAATACACACAAATTCTTATATGCTAGATGATCAACCTTTTCTGGTCGGTTCCACACCGTTTCTTTCTCAATGCAATCGCATGACCATAACTCAACTTTATCTTTAATATGAGCGAAATGTATTATCGCAATCATGATCGAAAATGCAAAATAGGATTTTTTTCATATACAGATATTGCCTCACGCGTGATTATATATATATTTAAGATTATAATATTAACATAGGACTCAATAAATGTAATGAAATGAAATGAATGAAACTGTTTAGTGGAAGAGGAGTCCGATGCGATTAACAAGTATTAAATGGTGATAACTAGCTAATTCAGCAACGATTAGAAGAACACTAATTGCTGATATTATGTGTTAAAATAGGAGATTGATTGATTCTCCAAATTTTTAACCTCACAGCCCGAGGTTCAATAAACGAATCTCATATTTATAACTCAAGCCAGAAATTACATTCCTTCAATCACTGTTAATTAACAAGTTATCACCATGCAACATATCGTGTAATCTGAAATGCCCATTCAAATTCTCCACACTTTATAACTATTTCATTATGACGAAAGTTTGCTACATTGTCGGAGCCGTTCGTTTTTATTTGTTTGCAGTCAACATGTTGTATATTATATTTAGCTCAGATTTATCTGTCAACGTCTTAACACTAACGTATTACAAAAACTTAAACATTGAGAACCTTCCCTCTCTTTCAATTCAATTCAATTTATTCAACCAATCATTGAAGACAATTTACAATAACATGGTACTGGTAACATAACCACATAATTGCAGATTATGGACCCCTGAGAAACAAAGCTTATAAATAAGGTCCACTTACATTCATATGAATAAGATAAATACATAAAACAAAAAACATATATTCATATTTATGCTGTTACAAATCAGTTTTCCATATCTTGCAAACACACTCGGCCTTACGCACCCAATCCCACACAATGCAATTCACTTCAAAGCATATTATAAAGAGAGAGAGAGAGAGAGCGAGAAAGAGAGAGAGAGAGAGAGAGAGAGAGAGAGCGAGAGAGAGAGAGAGAGAGAGAGAGCGAGAGAGAGAGAGAGAGAGAGAGAAAAAAAAAAGAGGGAGAAGGAGAAGAAAAGAGAAGAATATTTAAGAATAGGGGGGAAAAGAAGGAGAGGAAAAACACTAAGAATGCGAAACATGAAATGAACAAATAAAGTTCTACCCAGTTCTACAAACCAATAAAATGGTTTCCTTTTGCAATTCATTTTGTAATTTCGATTCTCTAGGTATGGCAAATGAAATATGTGCATGATGTATTATTTTAATAGTGAATAAAATATTGCACCACGCGTGATTATACATTTTGAGATTATCTTTAAGGAATATATTTCAATTAACAAACACCGAACGGTGAAAACTCGCTAACGAAGAAAAAATTTGAGAAACAATATATTGCTGCCTTGTGATTAATTAATTTCTTTCTCTGTTAACCACAGAATTCTTGACATAAATCGTGTAATGGGAAACGCCCCTCCAAAAACCCTAGAAATTGTATTATCATCTTCTTTATGATGAAAGTTTGCCCTATCATCATAATAGTCGGTTACTATTTGCTTATTATCATTTATGTTTGTATTATGTTAAGACCAGAAAAGGCAGACATCCGGTTAATGATGGCGTCAAGAAGTACTTGAGCATTGAGATAATTCTCTCCTGTTTACAGGTTCAATTTTCTAGATACGACAAGTATGATTGTAATCGTGACCTAAAGAGAAACGGCGAAATAGGATTGTTGATATAAAAATATTGGCCCATGCGTGATTATGTATATCTTAGATTATCATATTAACTGTTTAGTTGGAGAGGAATGTAATGCGATTAACAAATATTGAATGGTGATAACTCGCTAATTAAGCAATGATTAGAGGAATACTAATTGCTCAAATCTGCTAAAATTACGAGATTAATTGATTCTCTACTTTGATAACCTCAGAACTCGAGGTTCAATCCATTAATCTCATATTTCAAACTCAAGTCGCCAATTAATATTCCTCTGATTATTGTTTAAGTAGCGACTTATCATCATTCAATTAATCGCATTAGATTTCTCTCCAACTAAACAGTTAATATGATAATCTAAGATATACATAATCTCGCATGGGCCAATATTTGTATATCAACAATCCTATTTCGCAGTTTCTCTTTTGGTCATGATTACAATCGTACTTGTCATACCTAGAAAATTGAACCTGTAAACAGGAGAGAATTATGTCAATATTCAAGTACTTCTTGACGCCAACATTAACTGGATGTCTGCCTTTTCTGGTCTTAACATAATATAAACATAAATGATAATAAGCAAATAGTAACCGACTATTCTGATGATAGTGCAAACTTTCATCATAAAGAAAATAATTTCGAGGGTTTAGAGGGGCGTTTCCCATTACACGATTTATGTCACAAATTCTGTGGTTAACAGAGAAAGAAATTAATTGATCACAAGGCAGCCAGTATTGTTCCCCTAATCTTTGCTTCATTAGCGAGTTTACACCATTCAAGAAATCGTGTTTAATCGAGGTACAATCAATTAATTTCATTTTTTGAGCACAGGTCAGGAGTTGATTTTCTTAATATTATCATTGCTTAATTTGCAATACGTCACCATTTATCAAAGGACCCTTGTAATCGGAAACGCCCCTCTCAAACCCTAGAATTTCTTTACTTTTATTTTCTTTATAAATGAAAGTTTGCTCCATCGACTGAGTAGTCGGTAATTATTTGCTAACAGTCATTATGTTATATATTATGTTAAGATCAGCATAAACAGACATGCCCTGAACGTTGACGTATAAAAATGGTATTAAACATTCAGTAGCAGCTCTTTCCGTTGTAATTTTTGATGCCATTGGTCCGGCAAATATGTGCGTGATATATTTATTTAATTATGACCGAAAGACTGAGTAGCCAGTAAATAATTGCTTACAGTCATTACTTTTTATATTATATTTTGACTAGGATGAACAGACAAGCACTGAACGTTGGGGTTTGAGAACCAATTCAAATTAAGAAACTGCTCTTTTCTGTGCAGCTTCTATGTCCTCTAGGTACGGCAAACATGTTATTATAATGTTCTTTATGATAAAAGTTTGCCCCATCGTACGAGTATTCGGTAACTATTTGCGTATTATCATTATGCTATATATTACGTTAAAGGGATCTGGTAACTCTGTCTTGGATTCTGAAACAAAATCCTGGGTTTAGCTCATGCTGCAATGATAATTATAAACCTTTAGGTCATTCAGGAACCCCATGACTTTTACAAGCCGATTGCCTGTCTGAGTATCAAGATATTTATGATTGGAATTCGAAACCAAATTTTGCGTTTGCAAAAAGGTTTTCATAATACGACAGTCTATTGGGGAAAACGAGTATGGTAAAACCGGTCACTCAACGATTTTTACTTTTTTTAAGGCACTTCTTGATAATTTTGAAACGCGATTTTTTTTTTGGCTTCAATATTATTCCATATTACAGACACTGATAACACGTAGGGTCGTGCATTTCAGATTTAACATTGTTAAACGATGCCTAAAAGACCAGAAAAGGCAGACCACCAGTCAATGGTGACGTAATAGAACTACTTGAACATTGAGAAAATACTCTTTCATATGCCAATTCCATGTCCCAGGTACGGCACATATGTGCATGACATATTAGTGTACTTGTGACCGAAAGATAAACTCCAACTTAGGATTTTTAATAAGCCAATATTTGTTTATTTATCTTACCAACGGCTTGGTTCTTAATATATCTTTGTCTTTCGCAGTGCCGTATCATATCGGTTAAATAGGCTGGTTTATCCAGGGATTATTAAACCCTTTCATCGAAATCTGTTCAATTTCATTTAAAACAAGCTTGCCCTAATTTCTGATCGATAGTACCTCCCATTTTTCATTTACGAATAAAAGAGGTAAGTTGAACTTTTAGTTTCATTACGGCACATGAAGAGTTTGGGATTCAGTTTAGGTGAGTTTAACAAAAGGCTATATAGATAAATATATATATATAAATGTGTGACTGTATGTATCCATGGAATGTATGAATTTTATTCTACATCTTTTTTGTCTCTATCAGTTAATTTGCTGAAATATGTCATCTTTGTTCAGTGCTCTAATGATTAAATATTGTTTATAAACATTATTATGTATTACTGTATTAATTGACATAAGCATCAAAGATTTACATTACTGTGATTATTTTTTGTTTCTGTATTATCATTCGTAACGATTCACATAATTTAAGTGGAATATAATTATTGTTGATTGGAATCGAACAAAGATCTCGAAAGAATTTTTTTCTGACAATTTCTTGGTTTTTCGTCACTGTAACGGCAACTGCCAAATGATACTTTTTTGTTGTGCGTGTTTGTGTGCGTATCTTCATTCTGTACCCATGTTCTTTTATAGAAGTATGTCGTGGGTTTGCTTTATATCATGTTGGTATCTAGTTGATTTTACGAGTAAATAACTAAAATGTAATAACACTGGTAACCCCCCCCCCCCAACATGAAATGCAAACGTGGTTTAAATCTAATTCGATACTATTGTTTACAAATGTTGCTGAAATGACAATTTAAAACGTAGTTTGTAGGCCAACATCTTGGTCTTTATCGTCGATATTTGCATCCCCTCCCTTAAAAAACCAATTGCCCATTATGCCACCTGGTGGTAAGGCGGATTTTAGTTGTGCCCCCTCCAAAAAAAAAAGATAGTTTTTGCTCATTACGCCACCCAACCGGGGAATGATGAATAAATGAATGAAATCAGTATATAAATATGAGTATTTCAAATCTCAGATTCCTATTATGCATATTATTGGGGATCACTAAGGCCGTATCATAAATTAAAAACTATTATTACATCCCCCAACAAAAAGGCATTTGAATGTTTACTGAATTCAAGTCAATTATATATTGCAATTTTGCATACAACTGTAAAAAAATTACATTAATTCAAATATAATATGGCGTTTTATAGGCCACATTTAGAGGAAAATGTCAAATGTCATTACCGTCATATAAAAATTAAATATTATTATTATTATTATTATTATTAGAAGACGGGTAAGTCTCCTATTATAGATGCAAATAGGTTATAACTTGTAGTTTAAATATGAAACTTTCCCAGACAATATCGAAGTCTGTGATTTTATACATTTATTTATGTATATATTTATCATTGTGTTTATCACTATAATTATTATTGATGGTGTTATTGTTACTTTTATTTTGATTTATACGATTATTATTATTATTATTGTTCGTTTTGTAACTATCATTATCACTACAATTATTATACATTGACTGAAAAAGACCTTCGAGTTATAGTTTTTACTTTAACATTTTAAAGTCAATTCAATTCATTATTAGTTTCATTAATTTCATAAATTATAAAAACATACTTTATAATAAACATTGGCGCTGGAACATTGTATTAAAAAGCAAATGGCTTTGCAAAAACACAGAGATTCCCCTTACAATCACAATATTGAAAACAGAAAATACAGAAAACAAACAAATCAGATAATGAAACGAAAATCATTGGCATATTACAAACACTTAACAAAACTATTTTTGTTTCTTTTCCTAGCATCATGTAACTCACGTAAAGCCATACTGTCCTACTTGTGGTTACTTGCTCCCTCTATATAGAACACAATGCCTAATCGGTGACCATTGGTCCCCCATGATCCGCTTTTTCTTATGTTAATTGAGAGCTAAGCTGATGAGATAACCACCTGTCCAGTGACCTTTCATGGTGGTCTAATCCCTCCTATAGATTAGTACAGATAAGCTTTAATATATCGTAGTGTTCGTTTGTATTCTTTGTATCTTGACTTTGCCTTTGCCGTATAAAATAGTTTGGTAATAATACCAATATTATACTGATATATGATTCTTCCTCTTCCAATAGATACAACGACTGATATTGACAAACTTTGGGACAGCAGATCGAATTCTCTTCAAAGGATGGCCGCCAATAATGGGTAAATGTTTCATGATGGGATCGGAGTGGTGCACAATTTACTTTTTGGGGTATTGAGTCATAGAGTCAAAAAGTTAGTAATAAAAAGACAGAAACATAGCAATTAAATAACAATATATTATAACAAGTCATGGAGATGCAAATACAATAATGTATAATTTGAGTCATAAATTGATCATATAGAAGATTGAATATTGTGTTGAAATGAATTAAATAAGCAGCATAATTCAGATTCATCGCCGGACTGTCGATCACAAGGTCCGCAGTTCGAGTCCCGCCGCGGCACTAATGTCCTTTGGCAAGACGTTGATCTACATTTGCCACACTCAACCCAGGTGTTGTAAATGGGCACCTGGCAGGAATTAATTCCTTGAAATGCTGGAGCGCTGTATAAAAAAACGGCAGCTAGGCTAAAGCCGGGGTAATAATGAGGCACCTCGGAATAAAATTATCTAGATAGACGGCGCTATAGAAATGCCTATTATTATTTTTATTCTTATTATATTGTGTTTAGATCAGAAGAAAAAGAGGCAACCCTGACGTATGAGAACTACTTGAACATTGAGAAACTGCTCTCTTGTTTGCAACTTCGATGTCCGAAATTCGGCAAATATGTGCATGATGAGCATCTGTTCATTACCATGCATCAAGGTATATGCATTTGCTATTACTACTTCTACTCCTGCATGTATTATTATTATTACTACTTTTACAACTACACATATTATTCTTATCATTATCATCATTATTATTTTTATTAGTAGTATTACTGCATTCTTAATCAGGATTTTTATTATTATTATTACTATAACTACTACTTTAGAAAGTCAACTAAAGTTACATATTATATTGATTCAATTACTATAATGTATGTAATAGCTCTATTATTATTCTACTACTGCTACTACTACTATTACTACTACCATTACTACTACTACAACTAGTATTACTAATATTACTACTACTACTAATACTTCTACTGATACTACTTCATTACTACAGACTACTACTACTACTACTACTACTACTACTACTACTACTACTACTTATAATAATAATACTACAACAACTTCTACTACGCTTTTAATGCTACTACTACTTGTGCAACTACATGTACTTATTTTTGTGCTACCACTAATATTAATGTGCTTAAACTACTACTACTACTGGTTATAATTATTCCACTTCTTATTTCTTTTTCTACTACTACTACTACTACTACTACTACTACTACGAAGAAAACAACTTTTATTTTCACTACTACTCTACTATCTAAACAACAACATATTCTCCTACAACTATAATGCCTGCTACTACTACTACTATACTCCTACAATTACTGCCTCGTTCTCTTTCATTTTACCTCTGTCTCTGATTTGTCCTCATTAAAGTGTAAGGGATAAATCGTATTACATGTTTACTCACTTTAAATGCCATTATTTTTGTAGTGTAAGCATAACTTAATTTCGTTTAGTATTTATCTTCAGCAAAAAAAAGTTTTTTAAAAGATGGTGACCACAATTTTACATTATGTGCTCATTACCCCCACCCCGTTGAGCAACCCCCCCCCCCCCGCGTATTCGCCAGCTGATTTACCGATAAATATTTCTAAAAAATTACCCCCCCCCCCGCTTGGGCCCCCGCCCTCGCCCCCGGCTGGATCCGCCCCTTGCACTTTATTTCTTATTGTTATCAATATCAACCAATTTCGTTTTTGCTACCAGCCTACGAATTGTGGTTCAAGCAGACAATCCATGAGGTTGATTCCATACGTGAAATTCTGAATGAAAGGCCGTTTGATGAGAAGAAGATGCTTATGGTGAACAACCGAATGGATCGGATTATCCTAATCCTGAAGGTATAGTATGTTGGATTAGAAACTGTAACTCGTAATGAATTGGATGATTCTAAACCTGAAGATCTAGTATGTTAGATTATTAATAAATTATAACTCAGAGCTGATCACATTATCATAATCGTAAAGGTATATTATACTGCATTATTATTAATCGGTAACTCAGAAACCGTTGGATTTACGTAATTGTGATTTTTATTTTGCTGCATTAGTCTTAAACTCTAACTCAGAATGGATCAGATTGTCTTACTCTTTGAATTAGTGGATTAGTATTACATTTTGAGCTCAGAATGGATCACATCATCCTAATTTTAAGGTAGTTTGTAGGAATAGTCATGGAATCTGAATCAAAATATATTTGTTTATCGTATTCCATTTACCTCGCTCTCAGCTCAAGGAATGAGGGTTTGACTCCCATCCTAGAACTAATTGGCAAAACTTCACTCCACATTGTTGCCACTCTTGGCCTAGGATTAATTTGGAGCTGCCTTATCAAAATATGCTGGTGTTATATTAAAATTGCAAGGAGAATTGAGAGAAATTGATGGAAAGTTTGGATCAATTTATTGATACCACAAATGTGTGTAGTCCCAAATAGTCATTTCTGTGTAAAGCTTATTTGATTTCAACAAGGCTGAAACAGTGTCTTTAATTTAGATCAAATCTTTTGTACAACAAAGGGCTTTATACTGTTTTTACTAGCTTTCCAGTCATTTTCTTCACATCACCAGGACTTAACTTAAATTGGAGTTAACTCTTTTTGTTATTTGTAATTTTTAAATAGCTTATGCTGGATCAACTGACCATCTTGGAAACAATGTCACCCCTCTCTTTCTTCAACTTCCGGGATTATCTGGCACCGGCATCTGGTTTCCAAAGTGCTCAATTTCGAGTATTCGAGAACAAAATGGGTATCAAACCGGTAAATCTGATTTAATTGTTCTATTTATTTTTCAGGAGATATTACTCATTTTAGATCACGTTTACTATTTGTTTATCATATACATGTATTGTTTACATTTCATTTTAATAGAAATATATTTTGAAATAAGGATTTTAGGGAAAGGCAAATGTAATGTCGGTTCTATGACCGACATGCTAGTTTTGTATCAAAGTAATGCATTGTACATTCGCTGCATCTCTCCATCCAGGTGTTAAACGGGTACTAGATATGACTTAATGTTGCACGCGTCTGTGAAATAACGCCCGGAAGGAGTGCTTCCATGGGAGTGGAAAATACGCATACGACGATCAGGTTAAAACTATATCTCTCAAGAGCTATTAAAGATGCGTGCGTCGTTGAAATGTTGCTATGTGATCAGATATATTATCATTATCATTTTAAAAGCTCTATATTTATTTCAAGTATGACATTTCTTACCCAAATCCATTCATCCCGGTCTCTCTCTCTCTCTCTCTCTCTTTCTCTATTTATTTCTCTCTCATTTTGCCTTTCCCTCTCTCCTGCTGTCCCTTTCTGCCGCTGTCCCCCATTCACATGTTCTCTCTGTCACGCTCTCTTCCAACCTCTATAATACCTCCCCATCTCCTTCTCTCTCTCTTTCTATCTCTCTCTGTCTCTGTCTCTGTCTCTCTTCAAACCTCTCACATCTGTTTTATTTCTCTCTCTATCCCTACCTCCTCTCCTTTCTTCTCTCTTTCTCTATTTGTACCTCCTCTCCTTCCTTCTCTCTCCCGCTCTTTCTCTTCAAACCTCTCAAATCTCTCTCTCTCTCTCTCTCTCCCTACTTCCTCTCTTCCTCCTCTCTCCCTATCTCTACCTGCTCTCTCTATCCCCTTATCTGTCTCTCTCTCTGTCTCCCTATCTCTCTCTTTCTCTCTCTCTCTCTGTCTCTCTCTCTATATCCCTATCTGTCTCTCTCTCTCTCTCTCTGTCTCTCTCTCTCTCCACAGGATAACCGTATCCAGTACATGAAGCAAGATTATGCGGCGCAGTGTAATCCAATCAAACACGGTGACATTCAAAAAGCAGTCGAAGAGGACACTCTCTTCCAACTCGTAGAGGTATGGGGCGCCATCTTCTAAAGGCTCGTTTAAATATGACGCGGTAAAATGATAAATGGGCTTTTTGTTATAATAATGGGAATCGTGAATCGTATTCATTTCATAGAATAAAGAAAGAAAAAAAAAACGCGGTTTTGTCGCGGTATATCTGAACTGCAATGGGCTGGTATGAACCCGAATTATGACTTACTTTGGATCCCGTTTTTAAGTAAACAATCTTTGAGTTGCTGATGAGTAGTCCTTTATCAAAGCAGGTAAGACGGAAATAAGTTTTTAAGAGGTATCGAAACAATCTTTGAGTTGCTGATGAGTAGTCCTTTATTAAAGCAGGTAAGACGGAAACAAGTTTTTAAAAGGTATCGCTTGTCTGCTATCGACAAAACCAACTAGATATTTGGATTGCCCTCGACCTTAGGGGCAGAGTATATAACCAACATCGCTACAACTGCTATAACATATTTTCAATAGTGCCATATTTTTGGCGATGGCTTATAGATTTTATACCAAAGCATCACGCGCGCATCATGAATGCATTGTGTAGGACACGGTTGTCGACAAGTATGAACATTGCGAGCAGCAGAAGTCTGCATAAGTGATATGAAGAAGTGTCAGTGGCATAGCCTGTCTTTAAAGACGCATAATAGTTGGTTCTGTTGGGTAATTCGACATCATCCGGGTGTTCACCAGGATTAGCCTTCAGTTGTATGATCAACTGGCCTTATGTTATGCTCTGCATTTTCCACCTACCCCCTATATGGTTAAGTCCTTATCTTACTTTTCCCTCGACCAAAGACTCTCTGGGATTGATGGGACAACGCGATTTATTTGTGCGGGACTTATGCACCAAATAAAGGGACTTTGTAACATTGTTCAGATAAGAGAAAATGGTGCTACGGTAATGACTTTAATGCTAGATGTAAAATTAAAGATAATCTGAAAGTTTGAGTGAAAACAGATCATTATTAATGATACAAAATTGGTTAACACTGATGTAATCGATTCCTTAATTCTCCCAACTATATCATTACACTTAAATTACAGTTCAGGTAAATGTAAATCGTAACAAAGCAATTGATTGGCTCTATATACCATTCCAGACATTTAAGTGTTAACAGGTTTTTAAAAGCCTGTCTTATGTTTTGTTTCCATGGAACAACCGTTAGGAAAATTCAAAAAAGGTTGGGAGACTTCACTGTAATTTTGTGTCGCACAGTGACACCATGACAAAAAAATAATATCTTTGTGTTCTGAGAATGTTATCATGATTGTTTGCATGTTAGAGGGTTATTACAGTAAAATGAATATATTAAGTATCATTTCATACACAAATTACGCAGTTTTTTCTTCAACCTTCACCCAGTTAGGTGTTGGTGATTTATGACCTTCTGCACATAGAAACTGAGGACCATCTCCTTTTAACTTAACAGCATTTATTTTTGTTGTAATTACAGCGGTGGCTTGAGCAGACCCGTGGTTTAGAACCCGATGGCTTTAACTTTTGGAAGAGATTCGAGGGGAAAGTAGGTGACCGTCTGAAAGACATCATGACAAGGGCTACTGTGAGTATTCAAAACAAATATTTAAAGCTTTGAATGTTAGGCTTCCAACGACAAGTTTTAATTAATGCAAATAAACCTTTTCGCTTGCACATAGTATACAAAGGTCGCGAGCTCGATCTTGAACTCAAAAAGTCAGACAAAATCTTGGAACCACGGGATTTGAACGTGTCCTAATGTCGGACTGATGAATATCAATAGGCCAGAATGAGTCAGGAAAATGAGGCGTTTCTTTCCAGTTCATCGTGACTGTGCCATGGACCATGCAATAGTGGCCTTGGGGTGGAGTCACTGCAAGGTTAGCGTTACCTGGCAATTTATATCACAAGATCGAGCATGCGCAGAAAGGGCAGAACGTTTAATTCTGTTCAGTGTCATTTTACGAACACGATTTAGTTACTGTATATCATCAATATTTATCATTGCGGAGCAATTAAACACTTGATTAATATGTGTGTTTGCATATTACATTGTACACAAGGATTGCATATTCGTCGCATGCCCTTTATCGTTTAATTTGTGCACCGCACCACGTGAAGATATTAGATGGTATATGCAGATGACACCCAAGTTTATGCTGTTTTGAAACGGGATTCCGATTATTCTGTCAATACCAAACTTGAAAGATGTATAAACAACATCAAAGCTTGGTCCAAGGTTATACTTCATGGCGCTTAGAGTTCGGTGAAAAGCGCTTGATAAGCACCGCTTTAAAAAAAATTATTATATTACAACAATCCTGTCGTCAATGGGTGCATATACTGTATTGTAAAAAAAAATGCACGACCATTAGACCATGTAGAGCTGGCTTGCGCAATCAAATGAGCTTATAGTTTTCTTTTGAAATGAGTCGTGTTCTTTATGTTTTCTATTTCTTTTCTTTGGTATTATTTCATTTTTATTCTTCTTTTTCACTGTGTATAGGTGGCTGATGCTGATCATAAGCCAGGTTTACTACAGGAGCACGAGGCATGCAAGGCCATCTTTGATAAAGTGCTCACTGAGGCGGAATATCAAAAATTACTGACTAGGAGTATGTATTATTTAAAATTGTTTAGTCGACTTTTGTTTCAATTGTGACACAAAGTATTCATATAAATGATTTCAAATTATAATGGTTTCAATTTGTACCCACATTTTCCCTTTTGCTCTACTGCTTGTGTTCTTCCCCTTTTGTCTCTATCTGTTCCTAATTTTCCTCTCTACCAAATTGTTGTCAATATGGGGTAAATGTGGGTATAAATACATTGCCCATGGGATTTAGATTGTTCGGAATTGATTTGATTTAAATATCTTTATAATGTATATCTTTTTACGAACACATTCTGTACCTGAAAACCCACACAAGTACTTGTATCAGTCGTAAAGTTAAGGGGGAAAAAGAGTTCAAAAATGAAATCTAGAAAATATATTTATGAACAACAATGCAGAAATATATTTAAAATGCATTATTCATCCACAAAATATATGTTTGACGAGAATTGTTGACAGACCAAAAGAACAGCAATAATACCACATTGCTCTGAAAGAAAGCAGCACAAAATAAAAAGATTGGTGACACTTTAAATGGAATCCGACAAACAGAATCACTATGAGGACTTTATTTTTTGCCGAATCGGTAACGTCACTGTGATGTTGTGAAATTTCATTTTTATTTCAAAATGTAAGATTCAGTAGGGGCCTTTTGACAATATCCATAATAAAATGCTGTCAACAATATACTAATAATATTTTTATACACGACAAATGGCATAATTGTTTGCTATTACATCACAATTTACTGGCTATTTTGTCAATTTGAGACTCGAACAGATGCATTGATTTTTCATTTCAAACTTGTATTACTTCCTTATTATTGGTCCAATTTATTTCAAACACTGGCGCGTCTGTTTATCTCATTATTATTGTTATTTATATTTAAATCTTGTATTGGTTTACCTTTACATAAATAAACTCATTACAAACGTTGGATTACCCTTTATTAACTCATAGCCTGCCATAAGTTTGCATGCACGCTACCGTTATTGCGCTATTCATAGAACCATCGCGTCAATCAGATTATCTCAAAATAAACATGGCACCGGGGGATTTGGGAATTTGGACAATGGGGATTAGCCCTGTGGCATGATAAGTGTTAATGAATGCATAGAAATTATATGAAATTATATCACATCTCGTCTTTTCCTGTAAATGCTTGCTTGGTTTCAGAGGACGTCAGCCTTTCCCACAAAGCCCTACAGGGGGCGCTCATGATCTCGCACTACCGACACGAGATCCGTTTCCAGCAGTCCTATCAGTTCCTGACAAAGCTGATTGATGTGGACGCCCTCATGAACAAGTGGAGATGTAAGTACATGTCAACTCTACACTAGGGACTTTTAGATTTTTACGTCGACATAGTGGACTGGTACGTGTGCCATTCTGCCAGTGTCTTAAAAGGACGTCACACGTAGCAGTCCACTATGTTGAGGTGCAAATCTAAAAGTCCATAATGACATTGCTCCTATGAATACACCAGTGGCTTTACGAGATGTAAGCTAAATAAAAAGAATCAAAAACAGAAAATTCCTTCGACCGACGTTATATCATTATATATTACATGTATTATTATTTTACAGACCACCATGTGTTTATGGTGCATCGTATGATCGGTGCCAAGCCGGGAACTGGGGGATCCGCATCCGGGTATCACTACCTTCGCTCAACCATCAGGTAAATAGTTACAAGTATTTAAATTTGTTTGTTTTTAAATCGGCCCCAATATGCCTACACCGGTTTGACTTTGTTTGTAGCATTGAAATGCACAATAATGGGTTATGCAAATCTTCAATCAACAACAATACGGTCAAATGTATGCTGAATGTGAAAGTACTGAAAAATGTAGATTCATGAATTGACTTTCTTAATGTGCTTCAATTTATCAAATTATCCATGTTTCAACAAAGGATTTGAAAAATTAAGTTTTAATTTGGAGGAAAAAAATAGTAGAGAATTTTTTTACAAATGCCACTTTCCGATTTATATCCAACAAATTTCAGCAAATCTCAATCCACATACATTAATGTATGTATAATTGTTTTCATTCAGGGTTATATACCCACAAATTTAATATCAACCCCCCCCCTCCCCCTCCCCCAAGAAAAAGGAGTGGTATTGAGGGACTTTTACTAAATATTTCGTAGAAGTATTGAATTTAGAAACCTTCAGTGGTCTGATCTTTCTAATTAAGTCATATTCTACTATTCCATGTTTTTATAAAACGATTTTCCTTTGTGATTTCTATCTTTTAAACAAAAGACAAATTAATTAGAGGTTTGGTACAAGTACGAATTTCTTCTCTCCCCAGTGACAAATAGTGTTTTTATGGACCTAAATTTCTATATGTATTGTTGGTTGTGTAAAAGCGCGTATTTTCTCCTTTCTCCAGTGACAAGTATCGCATCTTTCTGGACCTGTTCAACCTGTCCAACTACTACCTGCCCCAAGAGTTTGTTCCTGAGCTCACCGATGGAATGAAAGCCATCCTTTCTCCCAAGTAAAAGTCATCAAGAATGTGTGACTCATTACAAAATACGATCCTAAAGAAGTGAATACAGTCGATCTCTCTCTTTGCGAGTATGAATGAGAAAATATATCTGTTATGAATATTTCAAACTTTTTAAAGAGTAAAGTGTTAATATATTACTTTAAAGAAATATTACCTAATATATGTCTATATTGTTCTGTAAATTCAACTTTGATATTACTTATAATACTACTGGTACTACTACTTCTACAACTACCAAGGGTTTGTTCCAGAGCTCACAAATTAAATGAAAGCTTTCATTTCTCCGAAGTAAAAGTCATCGTGAATATGTGACCCCTTGCAAAATACAATCCAAATTAACTTATCACAGTACAACTCTCTTTCTCTCTGACACTGAATGAGAAAACATCTCTTTTATAAATATTTAAAACTGTTTTAAGAGTAAAGTGTTAATATATTACTTTAAAGAAATATCACGTAATATATGCCTATATTGTTCTGTAAATTTAACCTTCCTTGCTACTACTTCTACAATCTATTAGAGGTGATCACAATGCATCTCTCTTTCTCTCTGACAATGAATGAGAAAATATCTCTTTTATGAATAGTTTAAACTTTTTTGAGACTAAATTGTTAATATATTACTTTAAAGAAATATTACTTAATATATATCTCTATTATTGTTTCTGTAAATTCTACTTTGCTTTTACTGCTACTACTACTACTACTACTACTACTACCAATGGTTTGATCCAGAGCTCACGGATTAAATGAAAGTTATACTTTATCCCAATTAAAAATCACCAAAAAACGTGTAACCTCCGTACATAATACAATGAGTAATAAGTGATCACAGTCTCTCTGAAAATGAATGAGAAAACATCTCTTTGATGAAGATTTATCAATGTTTTAATGCTACAATACCTAATATATTGTTTTCTCCATGCAAATACAATGATAAAGCGAACATTGCAGATATAAATGGACAAACTGGGAAACATAGGTAAAGGCAATCGTGTGAAATAGTAAAGGTAAAACTGAGATGAAAGGGGATATGATTAAAAATGTGGCGCGTTGCTGAAGAAATAACTTGTTCACAGTAAACAACTAAATTATTCATACCCTAAACAAGGTTTTGTAATTTGTTAAAAATGATTTGCCCCGATTTATATCTCTGGAGAATGCCCCATACGAAAGCTTACATATAAAAGTATTTAACGAAAGGCCATAATTAAACCACTCCCCCGTTCTTTCTTGCGCCTTGAGCATCCCTAGAGATGGATATGTTGCGCTTTATAAATATTGTTATTGTTATTATTATTGCGACCGCCCCAAACAAACTTTATGTTCCTATCATACTATTCTGATACAAAAAACAACAACAAGTAGGAATACTGCTACTACTTTTTCTTATACTACTACTACTACTACTACTACTACTACTACTACTACTACTACTACTATTAGAAATGCTGCTGCTACTGCTGCTACTACTACTACTACTACTACTACTACTACTATTTTTTACTACTATTGCTGCTGCTGCTGATAAAACTGCTATTCTGCTATTGCTATTACTACGACCACAACGACGACCGCTGCTGATGCTCTAGCTGCGATTAACTAAAAAATAATTATATTTTGTTCTTTGCATTGGCAATTTAGTATAAGTTTTCAGCCCTGTTTCTGTTCACCTATTTGAAGCAGACTGTGTTAATACATATCACGTTTGTAAGTAAGTAGGAAGTAACTGCTTAAAGTTATCAGCATAATTATTTTGTGTAGTGTTGTTATTTGACGCGCTGTCATGTAATTATACATATAACTGGTAATGGTATGTGTGCATGAATACAAAACATGTATAATATAATGAGTGTTGTTTACAGGAATCGAAAAGTGAATATATTTACATGTACAGATTAGTACTACACGATATTTCATTGAAAAACACTCTTGTAGAAATTGAAGAATAAAGAATTATTTGAAAAGAGTAAGCCTTAGGTAGAGAAAACGATGAACTCTTTTGTATCCTTCATTGCGCAATAGTTTGATTTAAATCAATAAATAAAATAAAGCAATACAAAACAACCTTTGTCTATGACTGTATTGTAACCGGATTTGAAAAAATTATTCTTTTCTTTCTAAACGGAAGGATAGTAGATCCAAACACGTGTTTCAGCATTGTTTCTATCAAATCATAGTTTTCTTTAAATTACTCATCAATATGCATCGATCGATCGAAAGAGAAAGGGGAAGAAAGAGAGAGATAGAGAGCGAGAGAGGAAGAGAAAGAGAGAGAGAGAGAGAGAGAGAGAAGGGGGTGAGAAAAGGAAAGAGAGAGAGAGGGGGGAGGGGTGGTCAAAAGATACACTCTAACAATAGCAATGTTAAAATCACCATTTAAAGGACTCATAAGGGACCATTTTTTCAAAATGGTAGATTAACACTTTAAACATGCTGGCCCACTATATACAAGTTGAATGTAGCTTGTCGTAAATGTTAATGTGACATTCTTAACAATATATGATAAAATCCATTGCCTACACGAGCCGGGTGGTCCATGTACAAAGTATATGGGAATAAGATAATTCAGTAGTCAATTCATTAACATTTTAGTTTTTGTTAGAGAGAAGAGAAGGAAAATTACATGGCGAAGAGAAAGAAAGTAGGGAAAACGATCAAGGAGTGAGAGAGTAAGAAGCGTAACAGGGCAAATTGGACTGATAGATAAAAGTATAAGGCTTTTAATAAAAAGATATTGTATTGCCCTTTAAGTGCCAGAACATGGGTCGGTCGATCGGATTTTTAACCCCCCCCCCCTTCAAAACAGCGCCCGTCGCCCCAACAATTCAAGACCGGTAACGGTGCCCAAATCTCGCTGGTTTCTAGATTGTGTATATACACGTACACGAGACAGGCGTCTACTTGTTAACTCTAGCAGGAGTTCGAAACTAGGGCAGAATACGAGTGAAAATTTGGAAATAATTTGATGACTTTATGCATTTATATCCCATTAAAACAAATAAAATACTTGTTTTTTTCTAAAATGCGGTTTTAAAAAAAATGATTAAAAAGTCGACCGTAAATTTGAAGATTTTTGGGTCAGTCGCAAAGGGCAATGCAACATCTTGTATATAACGCCTAATGGGACGCATTCAAAGATAGGATTAATTTAGCAGAGACAGAATGAAGGTAAACTTTAAGATAGAAAGAGCGGACACAGACCTCCTATATATACTCCCATAATAGATTTGCCGAAACTACTACATTCTGTTATTAGGAATTGTATATTTATCACTTTTATTGGGGTTGAATGTACTGCAAAATACAATGGAATCTACTCCGATATAGTGTCTGAATTTTAAAGTTTTTCGACTTTGTATAAATGATGTCACACAAATAACCTTCCTGTGCCACATTTGAGTGATTTCAAGGTGGGTTTTTAGGGCCAGTGTTAGTGCTAAACAAACACGAACACCAGCCCTAAACACCGAAATAAAAAAATCAGCTGGTGTTAAGGTTTTGACCTCTGAATATCTATCTTGGGATAGATAAATTGAAGGCTTTAAACATATGTTACTGCTACCAGTGCAAAGTTTATTCTTTCGGTATTAAAAGGGTTTTCATGGAACTAATCAAGACCGGGAATGGATAATTTTGCAAACCTGTTATGAAGCATTAACAACAAATCCGTCCATCAATTATTTCATATTTGTTGTGTGGCACGTGTGTGAAACGAGGGATCGTGCAGAGAGACGCAGAAGCCAACCCAAGTGTTAAAGTGACTCGGTAACATTGTTGAAGGTTAATGAAACAATTGCTTAATTTTTGTATAAAATGTTAATTATCATATTCCTTCTACTGTAATAATCCTCTAACATGCAAGGTATCTATGTTTTTTCTTTGATGGCGTCACTGTGCAACACTCTCTAATAGTGATTCACAGTAAATTCTCCTAACCATTTTCGAATTATCCCAACCGTTTTTCCATGACAAAAAAATAAAACAGGCTATTAAAAATATTTTAACACTTAAATGTCTGAAATGGTATGTAGAGCAAATTTATTGCTTTGTGACGATTTACATTCACCTAAAATATAATCAAATTGTAATAATATAGTTAGGAGAATTAAGGAATCGATCAGATCAGTTTTTTCCAGTTTGTATCATTAGTAATAGTCCGTTTTCAATCAAATTTTCAGATTATTTTTAATTGTATACCTATCATTGAAGTCACTACCTTAGCACCACTTTCCCCCATCTGAACAATGTTACCGAGTCCCTTTAAGGATCAACCATGTTTATAAATACTTGTTTCCATCAATTGTTCCATATTTGTGTGCTAAATTACACGTGTGGGAAACGAGCGACTGCGGAGAGAGGCGAAGAAGCCAACCGAAGTGTTAAGGACTAACCATGTTATAAATCCTTGTGTGGACTGGGTATATAATGTGCGTAAAGTTCTAACTGGTTAGGATATACTGGCTTCCTTTTACTAGCTTCCGGTACCAAACTAACGAGCTTCCCTTCTCTATCCGGTCGTTTGACAGCTATCTAAACCCGTCTGACGCGTGTTCAGGCGGTGATATACCAGCAGTAATCGAATATGAATAAGTACAACTCTTCTTATTTACTGATTCACAACTTCGAATGATTGGCATTGTTGATATATTGAAGGAATATTCAGCTTTGAAAGTAGGATGGTGAATGTTTGAATGAAATCGGACAAAAGATGGCTCTTCAAATTGGCTGAATGGGAAATGTGTGTGTGATGTAGTGGCAGTCAACTTTCCTAATTGTTCCAACACACACAACATTACTAAAGTGTCAATTTGTCAATGATGTATGGCTTAGAAGGGTCCTTTCCCTTTATACGACCTATAACGATATGATATACATAATATAGTTTAAGTTGTGTCCCAATGGAGAATGAACTAAGGAGAAAAGCAGAGTTAATTATATTTGTGCACACGACAAACCATAGAGTTCTCCTTGACCACGTCACGATCCACTGAAAATTCTACCGATTTCAGATTTGCCTAGACTTAGTGATCTCATAAATATTTCAAAAATTTCATAACCTTCTTACTTATGGTCCGATTTACCAAATATTTTCGCAATTTTGTTTACAATATTTATTTACTCTACCGCAGTGGAGAGTGGCAAATGTAGATTAATATCTTACTGAGCGTCTTTGGTGCCACAGCGGGACGTGAAACGCGAACCATGTGATTCACGGTCCATCGACGTTTCCACTAGACCGCGAAACCTCTTTAATCAAACTAAATTCATGAACAAAGTAGGGTAGTACATTGGAAAAGAGCAACCATTCGAAAGTAGCTTCACGTCTAAACACAACTGCCATTTAACTGTCATATTGATACGCTTGGAGCCATAACGTTGGAATCGGCTCGTTCAATACCATACCGAGTTGATGCCAAAACGGGCAGAACCGTATTACAACTGGGCTACGAAAGCTATATTAAAAATAAGATTGCATAATACCGTTGCTTCGGGCGAACATAATGTGATATGCAAAATAAGGCCTTTCAATGAATAGTCAATTGCATGTTCAACGATAAAAGGAAACGTCGGATGGGGTATTAACAGGTTAAAGGATTATTTTCTAGTGGTTATATGGAGCGCAATTTGACACGTCGACAGAAAGTGGTTATATATGTCGTTTTGCACGTATACGAAGGGCGGATGCTAGCACAGCCATATTGCGTTGTGTGCCTGTGAATTGTGTGCTGCTGCATTGAGCGTGTACTGTTCTGCTCCTATGAAATGAAGGCATCCTTTTGGGGTCTAGATCCGTAAGCGCAACTGGGACAGATCGATTGGACTAGGACCAGGACCAGGTATCCCAAGTTGGTCCAAAGCGTGAGCTGTGTGAGTTAACCATGTAATCATGGTACTAACACCTTGAGAAGTGTGGAACACGGAAGAGACCAATACAGTGCCATTTTTGATCAACCTAACGAACAACCTACAATCTGTGTGCATGCGAGTTGATAACTCAAACACCAGCCGCACAGAACACTAAGAGCAGTGTGAGTCTAGGTCTTAAACACTGAAAACATATTAAAGAAGTGTTAAAATCTGCAGCAGTTCACCTAGCTGGATGATAGTAGGCAGAAGCCTTACACCAGATATGCATTTGACGCAATAAGTGTTATTTTCAGCGGAGAGAGAAGAATAGTGTTAAGCTTATCTGACATCGGATAATAATCACTTTAATTCTGATAATTTTGGAAA